GGAAAGATGTTGGACCGGACACATTTACCAACAGCATGCGAAGAAAGAAACATTCCCAAGGTGGTTCCCTCTGGGCAGGGTCATGCCGTTGCCAGCAGTGGCAAGGTTCGTGAGGGTCTTGCCCACCTGGCGTTCCCTGCCACTCACTGCACCGACCACGGCTCCCCCGGCAGAGGTGGCCCCCGCATGGAAGTGAGCCACAGTGGCCCCTGCAAGAACCGCCATGGAGGACGCTCCCGCAGGGCCTGACCTGGCGCCCTCCAAGCTCCCTGCAACGGGTAGCCTCCAGAACGACAGCCTGGATGTGGCCCCTCCGGACAGCGTGGGAGGGAGGCTGGGGGTGTCCCCTGTGGGCATAGTGGGGCGGCGGGTGGGCGCTGCCGTTGGTCAGGCCTCAGGGCTGCTGGGCCGGGTGAGGCTGGTTGGGGGAGACAGCGTCGGGGCTGTTGGCCTCGTGGAAGTTGTTGAGTGTCTCCTTGGAGGAGCTGCCCCAGCGTCGGCTGGGCTGCGCCATCTTCTTCATCTCCCGCGCCTCCGCCGCTGAGTCAGGCTGCTACTGCTGCGGCTGAATTGGGGCTGATGGGAGGAAGGCCCGATGCCACCACTGACGACGACGCCTCCCTCAGGCGCCAGCCCAGCTGGGCTGAGGAGAGGAGGAGGCTGCCACCCCCGACCCAGCTTCCCTCAGCGGTGGCAGCAAGAGGAGGTAGCCGGCGTCCCCCAAGAAGCAGGAGGAGGAAGGAGCCACCCCTGGCGACGCGGACGCGAGGCAGCCCCCACCGGCAGCGGCCCCATCCAGAGATGCCGCCGCTGCTGCAGCAGCTGCCTCACAAGGCATCTAGCAGCCGCCCCAGCCCCACTGAGCCTCAGGCTGACACCGCAGCTGCCGCCCCGTCGGAGCCACCTTGGAGAGGCTGTAGCTGGCTCGCTGTGAGGGCGGGTGGAGAGTGCGTGCAGCTTGCCGGGCTGAGGAGACGCTCCGCCTCCTCTGGAGCTCCGCTTGGCTGGGTGGGGGGAGACCAGCTTAAGGGTGGGGGGAGGTGGCTGAGAGATGGTGCAGGCGCTGCCCCGCCGCAGACAGCAAAGGCCCAGCAGGAGGGGAGAGATTGGAGGGGGAGGTCAAAGGGCTTTGGCTCCCCTTGGCGGAAATTGCTGAAGCTCGTTGGAGGAGGGGCGGAAAGGGGAAAGGGTGCGGTCGCAGCCCAGCCACACATATAAAGGGACCGTCGGGACGAAGCTGGAAAGAGGCCGAACTGTTCCGAATATACTATACTCACGAAATGAACACTATGGTAAACGGCACAGCTCAATTCCAACGCAATGTCACAGGAAATAATTAAATCAAAATGAAAATAAATCAAAATCTATGAAAATTCAATATAACAATGCTATCGGAAACATTGGAATTGTGAAATATTTAGTATATCGTGTGTTGCTTTTATGTCCAACAGATGGCGCTGGTTTTAAAAAAAGCATGTTTTTACCTGTCACAGGTGTGACATCTATATAATATAGGTGTATAAAAACACACACGTATTTGAATGCAACGTTGTGTCAAAATTTCAAAGCAATCGGTGAAGAACTTTTGGAGATTTAAGATTTTGAACAAACGAACAAACACTTAATTTTTATTTATATAGATTG